CCAAGGCACGGCAGAGCAGGGGTGCCAGCCACCGCAGCGGAGGCATTAGTACGACAGGGCCCGCCGGCGGAACGGAGCCGGCAGCGCCAGGGCGGCAGCTCGGGGCTGAGGGAGGGAAAAAAAGCGCTGCCGGTCGCGCTGTGCCCCGGTCCCGTCACCTGCTCTTCCCAGGATACATCATTTGTTGTTCTTACTGCAGCAACGGCCTTTTTTAGGGGCCGTTGTGCAAATACCGCATGAAAGGAAAGGCTTTACTCTTTCCAAAGAGGTTGTCTGCTCTCCAGACATAACTCTGGTTTGTTTTAATCCTATGGGATGTGTAGGTTGGATCTGGCTCTTTCATAAATCCTGGCAGGCAGTTGATAGTATCTCTCCGTGAAACAGCTTGCGGGCAAAAAACTGCTTTGCCCAAAGCTACAGGGAGTTGTCCTGAAATCCTAACGCATAATTATTCCCACTGCGGGTAGATGGAAACTCACATTCAATATACATTGATTACTTGAATGTACTCAGATAAATTCTCACTAACGCTCTGGACGTACAGACCTTTCATACGACAAGTTCTCAAACCCGACCACTCCCACGGCTGCAGCGCAACCTGCGGCTCAGTGATCTGAACGCCCTGCTCCTCGGGCCCCAGGACTGGTAGATCTCGTCCGCTTGCATCATTTCTGTTTGCAGACTGAAAGAGGAAATTAACTTTCCTGGAGTGTTCTTCATCCACCAGTCAGTGACTACATTGACGTGGCTGAGCCTCCTAAGAGCTGCTTGCTGTGAGGAACTGTACGCCTGTTTCTGCGCAAAGCTTAGCTGAGTGAAGCATAGTTAAGCTTAGTGTATCCCCTTCTCTTCCCACCCTCCAGACAAATCTACCCGCCTGTAACGCCCCCGACGCTGCACATCCCCTGAGCGTGCTGCGAGGGCGGTGGGACCGAAGCATCAGGCAGGCAGGCGTTTACTGCCGGTGGCCAACAGAAAGCCATGTTAGAGCAGGGAAATGTAAAACTGGGGCAAATCAGCTTGGGAATGAAAGAACCCCCTAGTTAAACGCTGCAGGAAGGGCCGTCCCTCTCTCCCTGGGCTGCTGCTGGGCCAGACCGGAGCCCCTCTGCCCCGTGTCCATGCCCCATCACTTTTCCTCTGCTCTTCCCTCCTCCCCAGGCAATGGATTCTCCCTACTCAAACGGAAGCTACAGCCCCCCATACCCTCCGGTTCCCAGCGCCACCCCAC